TGGTTCCTGCAATTCAACTAAAACTAAGTGTTAGATGGCGTCACTAATCGCGATGCATTAGGAACCTCAGACGTCTGATTGAAAATTGGAATGGTGTAAATTAATGCAACTCTTATAAACATACAAACTTTTGAAATCCTCTTTACAATCCCTTTAAGTTGCGATCACCCAAAATTCTTTTCCCATGTAAAAATTTATACCTTATCCAGAATCATCCACTAAATGAACTTCCATTGGATTTGTGAAGTCGGCTTTCAAAGTGAAACGATGAAACTTTTTTCTTCTTGGGGATTTACGTAGCCAGACTGATTTTAGAAATCAAAAAATCTATATTATTTTGTTCTAAGAGTTCATTTCTATACAATTATCGACTATTTTCATTTTTGACATTTGCGTGAGAATGAAATTGTCTCCAACGGACATTAGATATTGTTCTATTTCCAGATAATACTTTCACAGACAAATCGAAGCTCTCGACATCATCGGCTGGCCTCCTTACAGATATGTTTTTAATATTGAATACTAAATTCCCTGCGTTCATCAAGTCTGATTTCATTTATCTGTGGATAAATATCATGTTCATGATCTAACGCAAGACTGATTACACTAGATTATTATTATATACTATATATTTCGTTATTATGAATTTTAATCTTTTTCGAAAATTCATGTATCGCTTTCATGAACATCAGTGGTTATCTAACCTTACTATATTACCGATTATGTTCTGATGTTGTCAAGCCAACCAGTTACTGAATCCTTTAAACTATATTTAGTTTGAAGTTTATTTAGACAATATTTTCGATTGTTTACGTGTCCAGGTAACTTTATCAAACATGATAGCTTTAACTTTGGAAAAATGATGTAAGAAATATTGAAAATTGTAGCTTATTTCAATCAAAAATGACAATATATCCAGACTCAGGGTGTGCAATAGATTTGACCTTGTGACCATGAACTGAGTAAGCTGAAGCCAAAACAGTCCCTGCAAAATTTCCCTTATCGCTCAACGCATGGCGCTGCCTGTCTTCGTAAGACCAGTTACAAGAGACTTTTCTCTCATTACATTTAGCGAACTGTTTTAAATTTAAACTGCATGTAATATAAAGATTTTGATACTTTACAGTTAATAATCCTATTTTGTTAAATAAAATCAGAAAACCAGTCACAGTGAAGCTTTTATCTCTCACTTTTAATCATATCATGGCGTTATATAACTAATTTTCTTCTCTGTCGGGAAAAATAAAGCTTTTTATTTCGTTTTCATTGAGGAATTGCTGTGATTTTTATTTGAGATTGTAATAATGTGTACTTAAGTTGATCACTTGGATACAGATCGATATATTGATTATACAGTGTTCAAGGGATTATAATGTGTCGATTGATTAGGATATTGATTGATTAATGCTATTTTGATCTATTCACTCATAATTCCACCGGTTGGAGTTGTTTTGTGGAAATGCATAAAGTGGAACATTATTATAAAATGTATTTTCTAGTATGATCGATAGTAAGCATTGAAGAGGTTTATTAGTTTTTTATATATGTTAAAACGATTCCCGTTATACATAAATTGAATATACGTTTCGTTTTATACCATAAAGGCTGCCTCAAGTCACTTCCCCACGCAATCGAAACTTAAATTGTAACAGTTCGCCGTGATATTCATAAAATTAATGTACACATTTAACTTGTATTTTGATTTCGTTAAGATTTCGGTGACGATTTGGCAAGCAAAAAAGTTTCACTCTTAAAAACACTCAATACCATTTTACAAGTTCTTTGGATTTTCCAATGACTAATCGGACGGTAAATATATTTAACGTAATTATACGTATATTAAACATCTATCGTTCTGTATCAAGATCAAGCCGGAAAGAATTGCTGATAACTTGCTGGTAACATAGCTAATTGTTTTTTCAGACTATCAATGACATTGTTTCACTTCAGATAACGACTAACATCTATCATTTACTATATCACTAACCTTCTGTATCTCCCGAAGCTCATCGCGACTGGTAGATGTTGCCACCTTTTCAATTAGAGACAGGAAAATACTATTAGTTCAAGTGATAAAGTCTAAATACACGAGCGAGTGGAAGGAACTAGGGTGTATACGATTGTAGGAATAAGGAGATATTACAACATGTCATTTCAATTCAATAAAGAACAACTTTCCTTTTAACGTGAATTTACATTTTTTAATCAAAATAACGACTTCCCTTTCTTGGCATGTGACTAAAATAGAAAAGGGAATAATGAAAGCCGACGGGTATTTATGTTGCTGTCAATATTAATATGGTTATGTAAAGCTTGGTAATGTATAAATGGAATTATTAAAAAGAATTATGACAACACCATAAAGCTTAGTTGTCAATGCACAAACTATATAAATCATAGAAGTGTATGTTATGTTGGGTCATGGTTCTGCTTAACCCACATATTCGTCGTAGAATATTTGCTTACTGTTTGCTTACTAGTTATTAAAATACAGTATTTCGTTGGCTTATTGTGTTTTGCGGTGAACGTGTGGAGGCGTTATGAAATTTCAACTGAAAACTGAATTACGCTTGAAGAGAAAGTTGAATCTGATCGTGTATCGCGTCAAAGCCACAATAAAACAATGAATCTCAGTAGGAGTAACAACGCAAGTAAGTTTAAACGAATCTTAAGTCGATCATTCCGTCTAGCATTTAGCTTTCCATTAAAAACGTGTAATGATAGACCTAACACAGACTCATTTCACACATTATACTAGTCCTAGTCACCAACATAAACAGTTTATTCCAATCGGGGCTGTTGGTGAACAAAAACATTAGAGAGGAATCAAGTGGAATCAAGTGTAGTTAAGAGATCTTACTCCATCATATTATTTGATAAATGAGGCTGACAAAATAGACATATTGGATCAAACAGTGGTCAAATATTGACATAAGCTACCATCTAATTAAAGCAGTATTTACACTCAATCGTCGCTTTAAACACGATAATTTTTGGCTTAAGGTGTCAATCAAATATGATGGTGGAACGGTTCATTGTTACATCATCTAGCTTAACTATAATCAAAATAAAGCCCAGTGGATTTTCATTGACTTTCATCTCTTAACCACGTTAATACGATAATGTAAAGATACACTTCAATACAAAATACTGTAGAATATTTCCACACTCAAATCAAATTTAGTAGCATACTGATAACTAGAGCAATGGAAGGGAAAGCATGTCATGTAAAGCCAGCGATACAATTGGTTGACAATATGGCTGGCGTTTTTCTGTGCGATGTGATTTGTCTTGAGTCTTGGTGTCAGTTATTAGTTTAATGTCTACTTTTACCTTATACCTACATTGCATAATATGAAACGGACAAAAGAAAACCGAAACAACAGGACAAATGACAATATCCAACAGTTAAATAAACAGCACAAAAAGTATTGTTCAAACTAAAATTGTGCAGTCCGGATCGTTATTACTTGTTTTGATTTAATGCAACAATGAAGCATAAACGAATAAATGTAGCCTACTTCAAATATATTGTCCAAACCGTTTCTGAGAAGTTCTAGTCAGATTGTCGCAAATAAAAAGAATGGATAATCAGGAAGCAAGACAGTACATTCAAGGACACACATTTCTTGTACTCTATACATTCCCTTGTCACCGATATAAATCAACTTATTCTAAAAAAAATATCAACAAACTTGTCATGTGATTGTGCTTTTATTTGCCAATTCTCTATTGTATAATGTATAATGATGTATGGAGAACAGATCGTGTCATAGAAAAATGTATTATTGAATTCCCGCTGGGCTATTAATTTCATTTGCCTGTCACTTCTGTGTTTTCCATTAATTGATTTTGTGCTAATGTGCTAAGAGGGTTGCTATACTCATTGCCAGTATAAAGAATTACACGTTCTTTGACAAAAATAATGTTCTCTTTTTATCAAACGATCGTTAAGGACATATCAAGGAAGTCATCAAGTATAAGCTCTCACTTCCTTATGTGATATACTTCTTTGTAAATTTATTAAACAATTTTATTTGATTACATAGTGTTATGTATACCAATGGAACCACCATGGTTCGGTAAAAGGGTGCACAATTCTTTGACAAAGGTTTGCCGCCTGTAGAATTTGTCTTTTGATGGAATAAAAATATGCCCAAGGAAAACGATTCCGCTAACCAAAAAATCTCATCCGAAGCATGACAGTTTCGGGAGCAATAATTGTATATCAGTAGACTCCTCAAATAAGAAGTACCATCAGGTGTTTCCTGATATTGATAAGTTTGTAAAATTCAATATATTTTATTTCATTAAAAGTATGCCCGAAGACAAATAATCACAATATTTTCGAACTAGTAACAAGCACTTCATTTGAAACATTATCAGACTTCAATAATGTCTTTGTGAACTGTTGTTGTGTTTTCTGAAATGTCAGACGTTATTTTCTCTACAGTGTGAATGGAACAGACGATAGAAATTTACGAGTGACAATCATCCATGTTACAAAATGAGATTTAAATTGTTTCCTAGAATATTAAGGAAACTAAAAACAGAAACATTAAATAGATATATTTAATGATATATATTATTTAAAGTTGAGTTGACCCACTTTAAATACTCATCTTGAAAAACTCACTTTAGACATCAGCATGACTAATTACTGTTTCGTTATCTAACTTAGATCATCCAGAAAGTTACAGACACTTTCGCAGTATTTTGCTACTGTAACTATTAACAAATTGCACAAGTCATTTACCGTACAGAAATTAAATAAAAAAACTGTAATTGGATTCATTGAATTTATAAATGTTTGAAATATGGGACACGAGAGCATAAATTCTATTATTCACTGAATCTTTAAAGTACACTGCTCTCTACCTTTGCTTAAATCGCCAAAATACCACTAGGCTAACGCTTAACATTAATTTGGTTCATTTACTGAATAATCTTATGGGTCTTCTAATTCTGATATATAATGATCGTAATATTGTAAGATTCTGCTACAGAAAGATTGTAATGTAAGATTCTGCTACAAAAAGATTGTAATATTGTAATATAGTAAGATTCTGATACAGAAAGATTGTAATATTGTAAGATTCTGATACAGAAAGATTGTAATATTGTAAGATTCTGCTACAGAAAGATTGTAATATTGTAAGATTCTGCTACAGAAAGATTGTAATATTGTAATATTCTGATACAGAAAGATTGTAATATTGTAATATAGTAAGATTCTGCTACAGAAAGATTGTAATATTGTAAGATTCTGATACAGAAAGATTGTAATATTGTAAGATTCTGCTACAGAAAGATTGTAATATTGTAAGATTCTGCTACAGAAAGATTGTAATATTGTAAGATTCTGCTACAGAAAGATTGTAATATTGTAAGATTCTGATACAGAAAGATTGTAATATTGTAAGATTCTGATACAGAAAGATTGTAATATTGTAAGATTCTGATACAGAAAGATTGTAATATTGTAAGATTCTGCTACAGAAAGATTGTAATATTGTAAGATTCTGCTACAGAAAGATTGTAATATTGTAAGATTCTGATACAGAAAGATTGTAATATTGTAAGATTCTGCTACAGAAAGATTGTAATATTGTAAGATTCTGATACAGAAAGATTGTAATATTGTAAGATTCTGCTACAGAAAGATTGTAATATTGTAAGATTCTGCTACAGAAAGATTGTAATGTTGTAAGATTCTGATACAGAAAGATTGTAATATTGTAAGATTCTGCTACAGAAAGATTGTAATATTGTAAGATTCTGCTACAGAAAGATTGTAATATTGTAAGATTTTGCTACAGAAAGATTGTAATATTGTCATATTGTAAGATTCTGCTACAGAAAGATGGTAATATTGTAAAACTCTGACACCTAAAGATTGTAATTTGAAAGATTCTGTAACAGAAAGATTCTGATCTGATACAGAAAGATTGTAATATTGTAAGATTCTGCTACAAAAAGATTGTAATATTGTAATATAGTAAGATTCTGATACAGAAAGATTGTAATATTGTAAGATTCTGATACAGAAAGATTGTAATATTGTAAGATTCTGCTACAGAAAGATTGTAATATTGTCATATTGTAAGATTCTGCTACAGAAAGATTGTAATATTGTAAAACTCTGACACCTAAAGATTGTAATTTGAAAGATTCTGATACAGAAAGATTCTGATCTGATACAGAAAGATTGTAATTTAGAAAGATTCTGATACAGAAAGATTGTAATTTAGTAAGATTCTGATACAGAAAGATTGTAATATTGTAATATAATAAGATTCTGCTACAGAAAGATTGTAATATTGTAAGATTCTGATACAGAAAGATTGTAATATTGTAAGATCCTGATACAGAAAGATTGTAATATTGTAAGATTCTGATACAGAAAGATTGTAATGTAAGATTCTGCTACAGAAAGATTGTAATATTGTCATATTGTAAGATTCTGCTACAGAAAGATTGTAATATTGTAAAACTCTGACACCTAAAGATTGTAATTTGAAAGATTCTGATACAGAAAGATTCTGATCTGATACAGAAAGATTGTAATTTAGAAAGATTCTGATACAGAAAGATTGTAATTTAGTAAGATTCTGATACAGAAAGATTGTAATATTGTAATATAATAAGATTCTGCTACAGAAAGATTGTAATATTGTAAGATTCTGATACAGAAAGATTGTAATATTGTAAGATTCTGATACAGAAAGATTGTAATATTGTAAGATTCTGATACAGAAAGAATGTAATATTGTAATATAGTAAGATTCTGATACAGAAAGATTGTAATATTGTAATATAGTAAGATTCTGCTACAGAAAGATTGTAATATTGTAAGATTCTGCTACAGAAAGATTGTAATATTGTACGATTCTGCTACAGAAAGATTGTAATATTGTAAGATTCTGATACAGAAAGATTGTAATATTGTAAGATTCTGATACAGAAAGAATGTAATATTGTAATATAGTAAGATTCTGATACAGAAAGATTGTAATATTGTAATATAGTAAGATTCTGCTACAGAAAGATTGTAATATTGTACGATTCTGCTACAGAAAGATTGTAATATTGTAAGATTCTGCTGCAGAAAGATTGTAATATTGTCATATTGTAAGATTCCGCTACAGAAAGATTGTAATATTGTAAAACTCTAACACCTAAAGATTGTAATTTGAAAGATTCTGATACAGATAGATTCTGATCTGATACAGAAAGATTCTGATCTGATACAAAAATATTCTGATCTGATACAGAAAGATTCTGATCTGATACAGAAAGATTCTGTTCTTTTACAGAAAGATTGTAATTTAGTAAGATTCTGATACAGAAAGATTGTAATATTGTAAGATTCTGATACAAAAAGATTGTAATATTGAAGATTCTGATACAAAAAGATTGTAATATTGTAAGATTCTGATACAGAAAGATTGTAATATTGTAAGATTCTGATACAAAAAGATTGTAAGATTCTGATACAAAAAGATTGTAATATTGTAAGATTCTGAAACAGAAAGATTGTAATATTGTAAGATTCCGAAACAGAAAGATGGTAAGATTCTGATTGTAATATTGTAAGATTCTGATACAGACTGATTGTAAAATTGTAAGATTCTGAAACAGAAAGTATGTAATATTGTAAGATTCTGAAACAGAAAGTTTGTAAGATTCTGATACAGATAGAATGTAATTTTGTATACAGAAAGATTGTAATATCGTAAGATTTTGAAACAGAACGTTTGTAGTATTGTAGGATTCTGTTACAAAACGTTCGTTAACATTCAAGATTCTGATACACACCATTTGTTAACATTCTGGATTCTGATACAGAAACATAATATTTTGTGAACATTCAAGATTGTAAATGTTCAAGATTATACTGAACTTTTTTAAATGTTCAAGATGATACTGAACTTTTGTAAATGTTCCAGATGATACTGAACGTTTGTTAATGCTCAAGATGATACTGAACGATTGTAAATGTTCAAGATGATACTGAACGGTTGCTAGGTGAAAATGTACCTAATTTAGATAGCGATTAGAGTTCAAGGTCAAGAGCTTGAACTGCTTTAAATTGTTCAGTCATCTGTTTTCTGAGGTAACATGTAATTGTCTTTAAAAGATCTTAACTGTTACAGTAATTTCCATCGCATTATTTTCTAATTATCAAAGACTATTGGATTCTCCTATAAAACTGATATTAACACTGTCTAAATTCTATTTCTCATCAAGGTTTAAACCTGCGTGGAGAGATATTTTGTCGATAATAGTTTATTAATGATATAGAGCTTCCCTATAATCGATTGTAATTAAGGCTACATGTAATTAATTATCTTTGTTTCCTATAAGACATTATATGCCTCACCTCTTCCAAACAATTCCACTTTAATTAATTCTTTCGTGTGCAATTGACAAACGATGTATCAAGGTCTTCGTGCCATCCTATTTTGTCAATTCTATATTCTATTTCGTCTTCCTGTGAATGCGTGTGAAACTAAGTTTAAGTTCAGACCGGACTGATGCAAGATATAATGGAGGAATCAGTGAGAGCTTTACGTTCGAAAGCACAGTTCATCTTTTAGCCTATTCTATTTTCTACTGTATAATCCCGCACTGGACACAGTAAATCATATAACAGTACCTTTAACCTATTCTCTGTAGATTTCCGGTGCTGTGGATCTTGAACATGTTCAGTCTGTAATAAGGAAAGTCTTCGTTTATTCGAACGAACGACTACACTTCAATATTTCCAGTCATCAGCAGATCAGTTTCGGTAAGCATCAAAAGAAAGATCTATCATTATGTAGAACTTTAATCTCGAAATATGGTACAGAACATTGAGACGAAAAGCTCCATTTTTCTTTATGCACAAATGATTAAGGTGATATATGGTTAAGTTAATCTGTGACAAACAACATAGTAACCTGTCTTATAGATTTCTTACATCAAATATTTATAGATAACTGAATTCACTTTACATAGCTCAAAGATACAAGGCTGTTCTCAGTGCATCCTGACCGGGCCTTGTAAATAAATCTAAAGGAATAATAATTATATTAACTGGGATTATTAAGATTGCAAGGATAAAGAAAAGAATAAAGAACGTCATACACTGTGCAGGAAGATAAAAATGTCTTGGAAACGGTGATACAACTAATTTAAAAAAAAATTGTACATTAATTCTTCCGATTCAGGCAATAATGCATTGCAAGAATGATATATAATGTACTTTGGGTTGGGTTCCAATAGTGATCGACTTTTGTTATATGACTATTTGTTTCTCGCACATATTACAGTTATTATCAAATTAGATATTGTCAGTTATTAATTAAACAAAGGATGATAATTACTTTAACTGTATGTAATATCTAGGTTAATTAGATCACAGATTTTGATATTCTTTCAGCATAATTCATAGTGAGATATGAATAGCATTTGTCCATTTCATCTTTTTGTATGTTCCAAATAGATTTTTCTAACATTAGTTCTAGTAAGTGAAAATGGTTTTGAAATAGATCAACGTATTAATCATTATGTTACACATTAAAAAGCACAGTCGCAGATGACTTCATCTTGGATAACATATCCAAGAATGATATTCTTAATGGGGAATATTTGAACAAAAGGTGATACGATTGTATGTGTAATCGTACATATGTAGGAGATTGCCTTATAATTTATACAGCACATCTTCATACATGTATGATATTTTTGCCACAAACGAAAATTGGTAGCGAACATAAAAATGTAACACTTCATTTTATTATGAAAGAAGATTGACGTAAGAATTAAGTTTATATTCATTGGAGTTAACCTGCCTGTCTAGTGACGGCTATAAAGAAATGGTGCAAATGTTACTGTAGAGATAGAAGCATTGTGAGGTCGATAATAGAATCTATTGAACAAGGTAAACGCGTTTGAATCATTAGACGATACGTTAATTAGTATTGTATTGTCTATTCTTAGATTGCTTCATTAAAGGTGACTTCCAATTTACTCCAAGGTCTGAACTGTCTCCAGCAATCATTCTTTTTCTTTAACCAGAAACTACGGGTGACAGAATATGTCCAAGAACTTAGAACGCCAAAGATGACGTTAAATGCGCTAAACTTGTAAGAAACATGGGTAGACTAGTCTTCAATAAGGAAGTCCAGATGCATGGCTCCATAAAGATCAGGCAATACTGATAATGTTTAAGATGTATATACAATGATATTTGTTTGGAAACTCTTCACCCCAGTCGGAGAATCCACATCTTTGTGTTTTGAATATTTTCATGTTCCGTAAAACATGCCTGAGTATTCAACCCAGTTCCAAGTATCTATCAAAAGGTGTTTTCGATGATATCTTGTCTGAAAATAATCACGAAGACACAGGAACAATATTCTTATACATGACTTGATTTAACTGGCATATAATGGCAATAACTATGATAAAAGAGCCATTTAGAAGGTAATTTCCTTCAAATTAAGATTGTTTTGTGAATTCAATAGTGATATAATTGACATTAATCCAATTTCAGACAAAATTTCCGATTCCCATCGTTCAGTAAATTGGCAAGTTCCAATCTTAAAACTAACCAGGCCTAGGAAGATATATACCATTCTTTAATCTTGACTTCCATTGCATTACCGTACAATTAATATTGCATACTTCACAGACGTTGCTTGTTAAATTTATGATACTGCTCTGCGATGTCTGTCCATAAGGCATTTTTGGAGGGTCATTACCTTGCAATTATTTAACAATCACTTCATAAGTTTTAGTTAATTCAGGCACAGTGTCTTGGCATTGTAAAATCCTATAACAGAACGTTGAATTTTAACAAGAGGCAATGTTTGGCTGAATTTGTAACAGAGACAATATTTGGCTGGAATTGTGACAAGAGGCAATGTTTGGCTGGAATCGTCAAATGAGGCAATTTTTGACGTCTCAGAACACTTGTATTTGACAATACAATTGAAATCATTATGTTAATGACATTAATTAACGATATGTAACATTCATTAGACATTTCTCATTAAGAAGCTCATCTCTTTATCAATGATGGTTAATAATTAATGTAGAATTCCCAAATGTGGCAGTTTACATCATTCAAGAGCTCTTGTGAAATTGATGTATTGGCATTACAGGCGTTTTGGCCTTCTAGATCATACTGTTGAACTGATATCGCCAATTAGTACAGAAACCATTGGCCAAAATTATTAATGTTTCTTGGTTTGGATTGAGACAGCCAGACGTTTCTATGGATGACACATTTATCATAAGTGACCAAGCAGTATCATGCCAGTTACCGACCTTTCCTATATAGAAATTATAAATTAAAGAAAATTGAAAAAATAAAGCAATAGAGAAAAAAAAACAGTTGTATCTTTCAATCTTTTAATATTTGTCAAACCCACACTGAAGAGAGTAAATTTCAAAATACTATTAAATATGTGCAGGTCAACTCAAAACAGATCATTGCACATTGCTTGATCATAGACCAAGATCTGTACTTAAAAAGACATGCAGCAGGCTGTATTAGAGGACTATATTGTAATAATTTTAATGAACGAAACTGTTTTAGAAGATTCCCTGGAGTATAATTAAATAACCTTGACAAACGTTATCGTTGGAAACACTTAGCATACCACACGATTTGTATTAAGTCCTTAAATCTGTTTTTAAACAGTGGCGAGATATTCCATTGGGATTTATAACTTTTTACGCCTAATGAAATATAAATTAAGTTAGCCGTTGAAAGGCAACAAAGAAGAGACCGAGATAAAGATTCGATATTTTATCACTTTTTTTTTTATCTCTCTATGTTTTATTTTGAAATTGTGTTAAAAAAATAGATATCCTGACATTTAAATTAAGAAATTTAGACAGAAACTTGAAAAGCATCTTTATACGTGGACGTGTGATTTAAACTTTGGAACTTGGACAATGTCATTTAACTATAACAACTTGGGCAATGCCGTTTAACAATAACATCTTGGACGATGTCATTCAATCATAACAACCTGGACAATGCCAGTGATCAATAACAACTTGGACAATGCCATTTAACAATAACTATTTGGACAGTGCCATTTAACAATAACAACTTGGATAGTGCCATTCAACAATAACTAATTGGACAGTGCCATTTAACTATAGCAACTTGGGCAATGCCGTTTAACAATAACATCTTGGACGATGTCATTCAACCATAACAACCTGGACAATGCCAGTGATCAATAACAACTTGGACAATGCCATTTGACAATAACAACCTGGACAATGCCAGTGATCAATAACAACTTGGACAATGCCATTTGACAATAACAACTTGGATAGTGCCATTTAACAATAACTAATTGGACAGTGCCATTTAACCATAACGATTTGGATAGTGCCATTTAACAATAACTAATTGGACAGTGCCATTTAACCATAACGATTTAGACAATGCCATTTAACCATAACAGCTTGGACAATGTCATTTAACAATAACAACCTGTACAATGCCATTTAACCATAACAGCTTGGACAGTGCCATTTAACAATAACTTGGACAATGACATTTGACATAACTTGGACGGTGTCATTTAACCACAACACATTGGATTATGTCATTTAACAATAACAACTTGGACAATGCCAATGTCATTAATGCCAAGTATTTGTTCTTCTATTTCACTCGTGATTACGTATGTCTTAATCTAAAAACAACAAGATTTAACCATCATCTGGTTTTCGCTGCGAAGTAGTATTACACTAAGTGTTTCAGATGAACAGTATCAAAGGGATCATAGAAGCACGAAAGCCCCGTGATA